AATATAAATTATTTATCTTAAATCAAAAATAATATATATATATATATATATATATAAGTTTTATGACATAAATAATCAATTATTTACATGGATAATCAATTATTTTGTTCTTAGCAGATATGAAAATCAACAAAGAATAATTTAATTGAATTTTGAGTAATAATTATGCGTGGATAATGATGGAGATGTGCGGCTAAGTTCTCTTAATCGATTAAAGTTTTCGCTTATGCAGTAAAATCCTCTAAAATCTGAATTCCTCTTTTCTCTTCTTTTATGTTCCTTAATTAATTTTGAATTAAATTCATGATTATGGATTTCATTTTTAATTAATTGAAGAATAGAATTTAATTCAAATTAATTTTAGAACACTAAATTGGATTCAATTTGGATTGGAGCATTACGAAACAGATTTGTCTTTGTAGGGTTTTCATAGAGCACGATTGCGTTCTTCGTTCCATAATTCAAATTAAATATTCAATGGTGGAATTCAAATTACATATTTTTTTTATATACTGCAATAATAGAAACTTGAATCGATGTTTTATCTAATTGGATTTTAAAATTTGTGATTCTTGAGTTTAATTTTCAGTTTATAATTTTTGCATAGAAAGTGTTCGATAAAAATCCCCCTTTCTAATTCTTGGTAAAGTTCGTGTTCCTATGGTTTGCGATTCTGGATTATGACCTAGGTTCCCTATATTACATAATGTTATTTATAGGGGAAATAGTTTATTTGATAACGTTTGGCATTGTTATCAATGATGAATGCTTAATTCAAGAACTAATCAAGCTTTTAAGAAATCAAGAACTTGATTACTTAGTATTTCCATGTATAAACATAAAGTAATAGATTATCATGAAAATGTAATTTACTACCAAGTGTTTAAACATAGAAATATGAGTTGATTCAAACAAGAGTTTTCAAGGTAACATTGTTAATCAATTACGATTCAAGATAATGGATTACCAAGTTTGTTACTGGAAAATGATATGTAAACATCCTTTGTGTTTATAGATTACCAGAGTTGGTAATAGATTAAAACAGTGTCTCTTGCTTGAAACGAGACTAAAAAATCAAGATTTTCATCAGGATAATCGATTACCATAGGAGATAATCGATTACCATAGAGTGAAATATAATTTTGGGTTTTGAAAAGCTCAAGATAATCGATTACCAACTCCCGTAATCAATTACCCTGACTCTTTGTGTTCAAAATTCAGTTTTTAGATGAACTGGTAATCAAATACCATATTAGGTAACAGATTACTTATGTTATGACTCTTTATAACTGAATTACGTTTTGCACTTTAAATATCTATCTTTTATGAAATTAAAAGGGAACCTTTTTGAAAAACAACATTAGAGAAAAATAATACTTTCATAAACAAGAATCGAAGGTTGATCAAAAGAAATATTTTCTAAAATACAAAAAGTGCAAAGATTGAACATGTGTTCTTGAAAAAAGAAATTCCAGAAGTGAATATAATTGTGAAATATCAATATCTACACAAGTTGATGGAGGACCATCCTTGAAGACACATGTGGGCCCCATCACTAGGTCCATGGCTAGGAGGGTCGAAGAGGAGGAGGGTGTTCACACACCTAGGGATACTCTCCTCATGATCATAGAGTATTAATACTCTCCTAAGCCTCATTAGTATAGGGTTTATTTTATTTGCCAATTTTACCCTTGTATTTTGGGGTATTTTAGTCATAGGATTTATTTTCTTTGTATTTCCTATTTTACCCTTGTATTATGGGGTGCTTTAGATGATTAGGGTTTTTTAATTTGGGCTAGGGTATTACATAGGAGGTGACGCCTAGTTTGGTGAGTTTGGACCTATTTTTGGTGATTAGAAAGGCTTAGGCCCAATGGAGGGCAAAGGTTGCATGGACTTATCATGCACCTAGAAATAGCCAATCTAATCCCATAGATTCCAAACTTGGCCACCAAGTTGCATCTAGGGTTAATTTGGCATTGCATTTGGAGTGCATTTGCCTTGGCATTTTCGGCCATGCACACCCTAAATGCAACCCTAAATGCAACTTCTCCTATAAATACCCCACCCCCACCACTTGTAAACACTTTGGATATATATGAATTTGAGTGAGCATTCTTATGCCTCAAGTCCCTATCCTTAGTCCCTAGCTAAATTCGGCTAGCCTACCTTCATTCTCCACCCTTGGAGAGTGAGACCTAGAGTGGCCTCCACCTACCTTGGAGTGAGCCAACCTAAATCACCAAACACCATCCCCAAAAGCTTACGCCCAACACCTCCCTCTTCGGCCATCTTCATTCTTCCCACCATAAAGTCTCCATTTTGTCTTCCTTGTTGAACATAGATCAAGGGCAAGGCTTCCTCTCCTTCATCTCTACGTCATTTCATGGAGAAGGAACCCATCACAAGTTTCATGGCTCAATAACAATTGTTCTCAGAGTTTCTTGTTAGTATTTGACTCCTCTAAAGTGAAGAGATTTCACTTTTGAAAATAAAATACAATAATAAATGTTGATTAAAATATCAATGATAATATTATAATAAATTTTAAATCTTATAATACAAGTATTTGATTTTATCATAATTCTCCATCGTAAATTTTTTAATCAATGATTAATATTGTACTTTATCCTCTAAAGTGCATGGTTCACTTTAGAGGAGTTAATTCCTTATTGTCAAGCAAGTAAGGAATTGTGAAGTGTCTTAGCTATGACAACAGAAAGTTGGAAGCTACCAATTACAAAAGAAGAAATTCAATAAACTTAGAGGGAGAAAGTGAGGAAATTATGTTGAAGTTTTGTCATAAAATTATATTTTGAAAATGAGTAATATTTGAAATGAAATTTGACCATTATTTCTATAAAAAGAAAATGAAATTATGGATTAAAACATATTTTGTGACATGAACCCTTCACAACCAAAATTTAAGTTGGAGAATAAAACTTGAGATCAAGGCAACTTTTACTTTTAAATAACTAAGTAAATATAACAATCTCTAAAATTTTGATCCTTGTAAAAAAATTAATTTCACTACTCTAAAATGTAACATTATTGTTTTTGTTTTTATGTTCATTTTAAAATAGATAAAAAATTAATTTTAAAAGAAAATTAGAGATATAACTTAATCTTCTAATAAAGATGTAAGTAGTTAACTAAGATCATTCGATAAACTATAATTCCAAATTTTGAAAAATGAAGAACAATAAATAAATAAATAGAATACCAAATTAAAATAAAAATATATTCATTTTACATGACTCAATTTTTATTCTTGCATTATGATAATCATAGTTTGCTTAAATTTTCATATAAACGTTAATTAACAATATTCAATCCAAATGCATGTAAATACAAAAACAAACATTATGTCAATAATAACAAACTACTTATAATTTCTAAATGAGATTTAAAATTCACTCTTAAAATTGCATATATAATTAAAGGTTACTCGGGCATCACAAATATAGTTCATTTTCAAATTTTGATCCATACCACAAAACTTGATGAACAGATGTCATTGGGACTTATAAGGCATCAATTACAAACACTAAATCAAAACATAAACTTTGTCCTGAATATGACAACATATTACAAGAAAGAACAACACCAAACCATTTTTTCATCAACAGGTGATGTTATGCTAATGATAATAAAAACTAAAATCTGAAATGCTAGGATCTTTATACTGCAACAATAGAGCAAAGGAATTACATTTCACTCTGAATATTTGTAACATTGTGAAGCTAAAATTTTATTAACACACTTATGAAATGGGAATGTTCATCAGTCCAATACTTCATTGCATCAATCGGAAATCACATATTATGATGTATGATAGATTAGTTTAAGTGTTATACCTTAACGACAGGCTTATGGATTTCCATATAATCAACAAACTCATCAATATATTTTTGGTTCAGTTCTTTGTTCCCAAATATCTTGCTCATCCCCTCTGCTTGTCTTCTATAAGTTTTTCCTTCCTCTTTGGACATCACGAGTCTTAATGCTTTGGCCACCGAGTCCCTAGTGAACTTCCCATCAAGCTTATTCTTGTCTACTTTGACCCCTACCTTCTTCTCCTCCATTCTCCCAGCAATTAAGAATTGTTCATTTTGGAAGGGCAACATAATAAGTGGACACCCAACTTGAAGACCCTCTATCACTGAACTCCAACCACAGTGAGTAAAGAATCCCCCAACACTCTTGTGTGCTAAAATCCTTATTTGTGGGGCCCATGTTCTCCACACCATTCCCCTCTTTGACTCACTCTCAAATGAGTCACTACTAGAAGAGGTGTTTTGCTTCTTTAGAACCCAAAAAAAGGAAAAACCAGATTGTTCTAATCCCATAGCAATTTCAGTAAAGTCTTCATCACTTAGTGTCACCTCACTTCCAAATGCTACATAAATCACCGATCTTTTTTCCTGTTTATCTAACCAACTAAGTATGTTATCCCACTTCTCATCCTTGCTCTCTTCACTGAACTCTAGTGAAGGTGGTGTACTATCCGTACTGCAAGGCCGAGCTCCCAGCTCGGCATCGCAGCACATGACGACCTCGGATACGCGCTACGTGACGTCAGCTCATCACTTAACCAGATCATAACTGATCTGAGGAGATCTCGGTCCAGATGAGATCCGCTATCCAATTAGATCACAACTAATCTCAGGCCCAAGGCCCAACGCAACCCTAATCTACACTAAGGTACATGCATTACTTATACGAGACTTATACTCATACAAACCCTAACTTTGGCATCGGAGTCTCTTTTGTAGGTACCACCCCATCTTGCAGCATCAACGTACCCGTGAAGGAGGCTCACCAATCTTACCCAGCGGATCATCCCTACCTCGAATTCCCGGTAAGATCATTTGGCACCCACCGTGGGGCCGATCAAGACAGCTCTTATCGGCCACGCTTATGGTTTTCACCAGAAGCCATAGCAGACGCACAATAGACGACGCAAATCACTCAACTACCATGGACAACGAAGCCACATTGAGGAGACTGATCGACCAGGTCGAACAGATGTGGTAGCAACACGACGCCGATCTGCGAAACATGCGTGCGCAGCATGAAACTGACCTAGCGGCGATGCGGACCGCCAATGAAGCTGATCTAGCGGCGCTACACGCTGAAAACGAGCGGATTCAGGCCCAGCTCCCTCGGTGCCCCTCTGATCATCCTCCTAAGGCGAGAAACCTTCACGAGGAAGAAGGGCACTCGGTCTCTCAGCCCCGAACTACGACTAGGGCACCGACTCGACGACCTGCCACACATCGGTCTCATGTTCCAACGAACAAGTCGGTCCATGAAGTCAGCAAAGCCCCAACTAATGTCACAGGGGGTCAAGCAACCTTCCGCTGTCATCCCTTTGTGGACAGCATCATGGAGACACCACTCCCTTAGGGTTGGAAGCCTCTCCACCTCGATCGCTATGATGGCACGACGGACCCTGATGAGCACATCGACCTATATACGACACAGGTAAAACTCTACACTAACAATGATGCTATATTGTGTAGGTTTTTCTGACCTCGCTCAAGGGGGCCGCACTCAACTGGTACACCCAGCTTCTCGCCGAGTCAATCGACAGCTTCAGCACTCTGGTCAGGTGGTTCACAGCGCAATATGCGACGAGCCGACCTCACCACATCACTTCAGCCGCCCTGGCCAGCCTTAGACAGAACGACGACGAGCCATTTCAGGCGTTCATGGAGTGATTTGCAGCCACCTCGGTTAAGATCAGAAATTTGAACCCTAAGGTCGCCCTACATGCCATGCTCATGGCACTCAAGCCTGGGCCTTTCGTCGATAGCCTATGCCGTGAGGCTCCTCACGATATGGACGAGCTTCGCGCCCGAGCAGCGGGCTACATCCAGATGAAGGCGCACTCCGCTTTCCGTGACCAGGCTCGTGGCAAAGGACCAATGAAGCTCGAACAGGGCCACAAAGACAAAATCAAGGTCAACAACGATAGCTAGTTCAAGAAGCCGGCTAGGGCAAACCGAGGGGGAAGATATGACTTCTACACTCCCCTGAACGTGCCCCGCGTACACATACTGGAGGAAGCCAGCAACAACAACCTGCTCACTCTACCATCACCAGGTCACACCCCCAACAATGCCGACAAGTCCAAGCACTGTCGGTACCACAGAAATCACGGTCACACCACTGAGGAGTGTCGCTCGCTGCGGGACCGTATTGAAGAACTCATCCAGGCGGGCCACCTCGGCCAATATGTCCAGTGACAACAGGGTCAACGTGGGGGCTACGGTGGACGAGGACGAGGTAGAGGTCGTGGTTCGGGAGCTCGCACGGACCAACCCTCTAGCCCTCAGCAAAACGCCGGCGGAGTAGTGCAAGTAGAGATAAGCCAGGAAACAGGGTCAGCTCCCCTACGGGGAGTAATCAATACAATTGTAGGTGGTTTCGCAAGGGGAGGCGTCAGTAGCACGGCCTGGAAGAAACACCTGCGCAACATCAACAACGTCCACCCCGCTACCTCGGCATCGCACCAGAGCTCACCGCCGATCTCCTTATCCGACGAGGACTACGCTGGCGTCAGCCCCAACCAAGATGACCCCATGGTCATTATCGTAGAAGTAGCCAACTGGGAAGTTCAGAAGACACTTATAGACCAAGGGAGTTCGGCCGACATCCTGTATTGGCCAACGTTTCTCAGGTTAGACGTCCCTCATTCTCTCATCCAACCCCACACAAAGCCCTTAGTCGATTTTGCAGGAGAGCGAGTGCACACCCGGGGATACGTCGACCTACTGACCACCTTCAGAACCTCCCCGAATACAAGGAGAATCATGGTTCGATACCTCCTCGTGGAGGCCAACACCTCCTATAACATCATCATTGGGAGGCCGACGTTGAATCAGCTCGGAGTAGTGGTATCCACTCCGCACCTCACCATGAAGTTCCTAGGAAGTGACGATAAAATCATCACCGTCAAAGAAAATCAGAAGACGGCTCGGTAGTGCTACACCGAGAGTCTAAAGATCTCCTCATCCAGCAAGCAAAGCAAGAAGGATCCCCCCACCGTGGCTCACATCACCCACGTGGAGGCCACTAACCTCGGCCTAGGGACCAAGTCCCGCTAGCGAGCTCGGAGACAAGGCTCAGGAAGCCCGCGCTCTCCGACTGCAAGAACACGGCGGAAAACCAATACCGCGAATTCGGAACGCTACGCATTTCAAGTCCTATTTCAGTTAATCTTGTATGAATGAGTTGTGCACTCTTTTCTCGCCTCAGTCTTTTATCCCAAAAAACAAAAAATGGGTTGTGGCTGAGAGGGTTTTTAACGAGGCACACTTACATAATCAATAAAATGACTCATTCTGTTCAACTTATATTTTTAGTCCTGTATCATTTCACGCTTCACGCTAAATCGAGGTCGAGTACGAACCTTGGCATGATCAAGGTCGAGTACGAACCTTTACAAGAGTTAAGTAACAAAAGCCCGAGGTCGAGTACGAACCTCGGCATGACCAAAAATCAAGGTCGAGTTCGAACCTTTACGAGAATTACTTAACAAGAGCCCGAGGTCGAGTACGAACCTCGACATGACCAGATTAAGGTCGAGTACAAACCTTTACAAGAGTTAAGTAATAAAAGCCCAAGGTCGAGTACGAACCTCGGCATGACCAAAAATCAAGGTCGAGTTCGAACCTTTACGAGAATTACTTAACAAGAGCCCGAGGTCGAGTACGAACCTCGGCATGACCAGAAATCAAGGTCGAGTTCAAACCTTTACGAGAATTACTTAACAAGAGCCCAAGGTCGAGTACGAACCTCGGCATGACCAGATCAAGGTCGAGTACAAACCTTTACAAGAGTTAAGTAACAAAAGCCCGAGGTCGAGTACGAACCTCGGCATGACCAAAAATCAAGGTCGAGTTCGAACCTTTACGAGAATTACTTAACAAGAGCCCGAGGTCGAGTACGAACCTCGGCATGACCAAAAATCAAGGTCGAGTTCAAACCTTTACGAGAATTACTTAACAAGAGCCCAAGGTCGAGTACGAACCTCGGCATGACCAGATCAAGGTCGAGTACAAACCTTTACAAGAGTTAAGTAACAAAAGCCCGAGGTCGAGTACGAACCTCGGCATGACCAAAAATCAAGGTCGAGTACGAACCTTTACAAGAGTTAAGTAACAAAAGCCCGAGGTCGAGTACGAACCTCGGCATGACCAAAAATCAAGGTCGAGTACGAACCTTTACAAGAGTTAAGTAACAAAAGCCCGAGGTCGAGTACGAACCTCGGCATGACCAAAAATCAAGGTCGAGTACGAACCTTTACGAGAATTACTTAACAAGAGCCTGAGGTCGAGTACGAACCTCGGCATGACAAAAAATTAAGGTCAAGTTCGAACCTTTACGAGAATTACTTAACAAGAGCCCAAGGTCGAGTACGAACCTTTACAAGAGTTAAGTAACAAAAGCCCGAGGTCGAGTACGAACCTCGGCATGACCAAAAATCAAGGTCGAGTTTGAACCTTTACGAGAATTACTTAACAAGAGCCCGAGGTCGAATACGAACCTCGGCATTACCAGATCAAGTTCGAGTACAAACCTTTACAAGAGTTAAGTAACAAAAGCCTGAGGTCGTGTACGAACCTCGACATGACCAAAAATCAAGGTCGAGTTCGAACCTTTACGAGAATTACTTAACAAGAGCCCGAGGTCGAGTACGAACCTCGGCATGACCAGATCAAGGTCGAGTATGAACCTTTACAAGAGTTAAGTAACAAAAGTCCGATGTCGAGTACAAACCTCGGCATGACCAAAAATCAAGGTCGAGTTCGAACCTTTACGAGAATTACTTAACAAGAGCCCGAGGCCGAGTACGAACCTCGGCATAACCAGATCAAGGTCGAGTAAGAACCTCGGTATGACCAGATCAAGGCCGTGTACGAACCTTTACAAGAAGTAACGAAAAATCGAGGTCGAGTTCGAACCTCGGCAAGATCAACTCAAGGTAGAGTATCACCAAGTATAAAAGTATACAATAGACATCGAACACGTGTCTCACAGCGCAAACAACAAAAATCCAGCTTAAACGCAAAGGCAAAGGAAAGCGCAAGCGCAAATAGACAAAGAAAAATAAACAAATACAAGCAAGAGTTTCAGAGTTCTACACTCGAATTCCAAACAGAAAAATAACACAGAAAAACATTAACTAAGCTACGACAAAAATGGCCTACGCAGAGGCGTTCTCAATGGAGCTGTCCTCGAGGTCGTCCTCCTTTACCAGCTTCCCAAAGCGGACCACTTTCTCCAGATGCATGGCAGAGAAGTCGAACCCCGGGGCAAGAGGCCTCGCCTGGCGAGCCGCCTTGAGGAAACCCCGCTTGTGTTCAACCACGATAGCTCGTTCGGTTTCCTCCAGCTTCTTCTCCAGCCCCGCCCTCTCCGCCTCCTGCTTCGCCAGCTCCACTTTCAAGGCGGCGACCTCCTCCTCTTTACCACCAAGCACGACCTCGTCGCAGAGGCGCTTCTCAGCCGCCGTCACCAGCTCAATCTTCAAGGAGGTTACTTCATCCTCCAAGGAGCGAACCCGACCACGGGAAGACGTCACCTTATCTTCAAGGAGGTGCACCCGACTTCGGGACGAGGCGGTAAGCCCTTGCAGCTCGCCCACCTGGGAGGCGTAGTTCTCGTTCGAGCGCAAATCAATCTCCAGCGACTTCTACACCCTCGCAAGATCCCCCCT